AACCTGCCACAGATTAAAATTAGACCCTTATCTTTCGCCACGCACTAAATTAAAATCCAAATGGATTAAAGATCTAAATATTAAAACAGAAACATTAAACTTGCTGGAAGGTAAGTTAGGCAGAACTCTGGAAGACATTGGTATAGGAAAAGACTTTATGAACAAATCCTCAGTAGCACGGGAACTAGCAGAAAGAATCAACAACTGGGATCTCATCTTACTAAAAAGCTTCTGTACTTCAAAAGAAACCATTAGCAGAACTAAGAGACATTCTACAATGTGGGAAAAAATTTTTACCAGCTGTACCTCTTTGCATGAATCTTTTACCACATATCTGATTATCTTTCAGTTAAAGGGAATAAACAGTGTCAATATTCTTGATATCTAAAATGAAATTATTTTCAGAAAAGGTTGCACCAAGTCCCTGACCCCCCTTGAGCATGAATGTGTCCATCTCACATAGCCCTCACTAGACACGAGGACTAGTTTTTAAAAAATATCACCATACATTTGGAATGAAAAAGTACAACTTATAACTTTAGCCTGTCTGTCACTGATAACCTGCAAGGCTGTTCCTCTTTGGAGGAGGCATGGCTGTTAGCATTCTTTCTGAGTGGGTATGAAGTGTCTGCTCCTTGGATTCCTGCGATAACTGTCTCGCACAAGGCTGGCCCCTCACCTGTGTGACCTGAGAAACAGTGGGACAAACATCTACTGCTGAGAACTATATCCCAGGAACACTCAGGATGGTGGACGGGACCAGGGGCTCTGTCTGCCTGTGACCCTAGTGCCTCTTCAGGCTCAAGGGACAAGAGAGGTGGCCTTGGCTCCTCCTTAACTGCTACCATAGCCAGCTGGCATCTCTGTAGCTGGTTTGGCCAGGAAGTCACAACCCACCCTCTGGAAACGCTGGATCCTTCATGGTGTGTCAGCCACTACTGAGAGGAAGTTTGGCCAGCTGAGTTGCACTTGGGGAAACCTGCTGAGCCCATTGTCCAGTGTAGGGTGATGCCACTTCTCTTTGCTGTTGCTGGTTCTGGAACACCTGCTCCCTACCTGCTCCAGGCTACCCACGTGGCAGAGGCACAGATGTGTCTGTGCTTCTGTTTCCTCAGCCCAAGTGGGACGGAGCATTGCTCTTTCCAGTCCACTGGGGGCTCCACCATTAGTCTGGGGAGCCAGTGTGACAGCACAGCACCCATTCCCTTTCCGGCCTCTCTTCAGGCTGGCAAGCGAGAGGGGGACCAGGAAAAGTCAGGACTTGCTGAGAAATTTTTCTTGACTCTTTAACCAAATTACCATTGGAACCATGATTATTTGAACCCAAAGCCAAGAATTTGAAACTTTTCTTCTTCAGGTAACTTTTTGACAGTGCCTGTAGGCACCGACTCTAAATAAAGCAACAGTGCCTCACATGCAGGACTTGGCTGCGAGTGGTCTCATTTGGAAACTGGGAACTGATGATCGATGTCATGTGGCCCCAGTGACATCTGGGCCTCCGGAGGCAGTGAAGTGTACAGGGGAGCAAATTCCTGCTGTAAGATGCGAATAGAATCAAACACGCTGCTGTGAGTCTTTAGTGAGTATTTAGTAAGGGTTTAGAGTGCCAGATATATAGCAAGTGCCACTTTAAGGGCTTGACAAATAAATGTGACTCTGTAGCAAAACACCCTCACTTTCAGCTGAAATCTGAAGCCATGGTCTCATAGCTGCAGTGTACTTTTCTGTGTATAAAGCCTTAGAACTGCATTTTAAAGCAACTTTTACCAGAACTAATAGAAAACCCTAACAATGGCACACCAGCTTCGAGAACTAAATAGACCTGTTTCTCTCTCCCTCCTTCTCCCTCTCTCCCTCCCTCCTTCTCTCTCTCTCTCTCTCTTATGCTTTAGCCAAGTCACCAGGAATTTTGCAGAAGGCACTCATTTTCCGAGAAGTCTCCTACACTCCTGAAAATCTGTTTTCTATGAAGGAAGCAACTGAGATATTTGTCCCTTGTCAAGGGTCTTCTATCAGCGGAGGCTGTCCTGAGCTGGCTCTGAGGGTCCTGCAAGAGGCCGAGGACATCTTTGACGCCCTCAGGGGATGTGGGAGGTTAGTTTAGACCTGAGGCAACTGACAGGTTTTTATTTTATTTATTTTTTCCTAGAGTTTATTGGTACTTTTAAAGTTACGTTACATTTATCATTGGGGTCTTGTACCTTTACATGACAGATCTTGGTTCTCATTTTTTCCTCATACCCCTGCCCTCCCTTCACCCTCTCCCCCCTCTTCTATTTACAAAGACTTTATTTCCATTTTTCCCTTTTCTCATATTTTTTCTTTTCCCTTATTCCATATTGAGGCCAAACTCTCAGGTTTTTTAAAGAAAGTTTAAAACACTTTAGAGAGATGTTTCCAAGATTTAGCTATTACAAACCATACTGCTATAAACATGGGTGTGCATATATCATTGTGTGCATTATATGCTTTAAATTCTTTCAGGAAGATACCAAAAAGTGGAATAGCTGGGTCAAATGAGATCTTTAGTTTTAGTTTTTTGAGGAATCTCCACACTGGCTTCCACAGTGGTTGCACCAGTCTGCTCGCCCACCAACCGTAGAGAAGGGTTCCTTTTTCCTTATAGCCTCGCCAACATTTGTTATTGGTCTATTTCTTGATAGTTGCCAATCTTTTCAGAGTGAGATAGAATTTCAGAATTGTTTTAACTTACATCTCTGGAATGACCAGTGATGTTGAACATTTTTTTTTTGTATTTTTTTTTTCTGTCTGTACTTCTTCATCTGAGAAGTGTGTATTCATTTTAGAAGCCCATTTTGGATTGGCTCTTTAAATTTGGGGAGGGTCTGATTTTTTTGAGTTCTTTATATATTCTATATATTAGTCCTTTGAGGTACAGCTGGCAAAATTTTTTTCCTCACTCTGTGGACTGTCTCTTCATTCTTTTGCTGTACAAGCTTTTTAATAAGATGAGATCACAGTTGTTGATTCTTTGTACTATTTCATGTGTGATTGGGTTTTGTTCACAAAGACTTGGCCTATACCTCTGTCTTCAAGAGTTTTACCTATTCTGCCTTCTAGCAGATTTAGTGTTTCTGTTTTAATATTTAGATCATTGACTTTAGTTTAGTTTATAATGAGAGATTTGAGTCCCAACCAATGAATGGATAAAGAAGTTGTAGGTTTTTTTTTAATACAGTGGAGTACTACTCAGCCATAAAGAAGGATAAACATGAGACATCTCTAGGTAAATGGATGCACCTTGAGACTATACTCTTAAGTGAGATAAATCAGACACATGTGTAAATATTGCATTGTTTCTCTGGTGTGGGACACAGAGTGTAAATGAGGACCGAAATATATAATAGATATTGTGAAATAGGAAGACCATGTTTAAATGGGAGGGCAAACTAAAGAGGAGGGAGGAGGAAAGGAAGGAAGGGAAAAGAAAAAAAAAACGAGAAAAGAATAATAAATGGAAACAAGGCTTTTGTAAATGAGGGGAAGAGGGGTTGAAGGAAGGTGAGGGGGATGGGAGAAACAGAAGAATCAAGACATTTCCTGTACAGGTACAAATTCCCTCTAACTGTGGTCATTATGTATGTCTAAAATGTAGCAAAAATGAATTACTTAAAAATATTTTAGAGAGCTGGACTTCTCTTCTCTACTGTATCACTTTGGGGGTATTGGTTCAAAAGGGAAGCTGAAAATTTTCCAAAAGAAATGTTTTTAAAATAAATGCTCTTGAAGAAGAATTTATAAATTCATGTGTAATTTAAATTTGAGTTTTAGCTACATGGGTTTGTGACATTGCTATAGCTTTTAACATAGCTCCCTATCTTATCTCAAAACTATTATAAGTTCAAAAAAGTCCAAACCAGAAGTAAATATTTCTTTCACACAAACACCTAAAGCACAAAAGCAGTCTTATATATGCCAGAAGGTGCATCGGGCAGTATTTCAGGCAACCAGTGCAAGAACAGAAGAAGGATACCAAGACTAACAGAGCATATAATCAATGTGAACAGTGGTGGGCAGGGTGGGCAGGTGGGTGGACTCTGTCTCCACAGCAGTGGAGGACTTGTACATTACACCTCAGGGCCAGCAAGAGAGTGGCCAGACTTGGCCTGTGGACTCCATCGGAGCCTTTGTACAACTGCTTCTCAGTAGAAGGGGCCTGGATGTCTTGGTAGAGACTTCAGCACTGAATGGTCAGTAGAGAATGTTCTCAAATAGTTGAGAAGCTATGGATCTCACCCCGGATCTCTGAAAAGCCTTAGGCAGGAGATCAGATGTCTCAAGGCAGGTGGCTGATAACTTGAAACAAGTGGTAAAGACTTGGGGACTGGCCGGGACTGTGTGTCTCAGAGAAAACATAGGTGAAGGACCTCACTCAGCACCTCGACATCAGTCTCAGACACAGGGACAATGCTCAATAGACAGACTTTGAGGTCAATCCTGCCGAACGATTTAGAGGATTTCTAGGACAGGAAAGTTCTCTTCCTCTTTCCACCTGCCTGTTTGTTGCCCTAGATGCCCACTCTCACCATGCGGGGACTTAATAACCACTCACTCCATGTTAGCCATTCCTCTTATAAATCACAGCTGAGTTATACACAGTGCTCATCACATACTCACGTACCCCACAGCATCCTAAGGGGATTCCCAGGAGGGTCGTGTGCTGTCAACCACTTTCTACAGAAAAGGATCCTAAGGCACAGAAAGTTCAGCTGTGTAAGTAGTGAAGCCCATTCTTAGCAGGATCCACTTCCCCTCCTTACTCCGTGGGATCTTGAGAAGTTTGCAGGCTGAACACCAACTATGCTCATGGCTGCAATGACAAATGCATCCTTTTGATATATATATATATGTATATATTTGGTCAAACCCCAAGTCATCTTCAATAAAAGCTAATTTTTAAGTTCAGCAATCAATTCCGCCAAGATGGATAGACATGTTTAGCAATATTCAATAAATGTTGGATATTTGTTCAGTTAAGTAGGATTAAGAAATCTTTGGCAAGAAGGAGTCACACTGACTTATATTCAGTTAAACCTAACAGAAAAAACATCAGTTGTGCCTTACGTGTTAGACCGATGGAGTTGGGTGTCCTGGGGCTGGAATTTGGTCTATTTTTGACTATCATGGCCATGAGGTGGGGGATGCTCCTCACACTGGATCAGCAGAGGCAGAGATGCTGCTCAGTGCGCTAGAGCGCTCAGGATGATCCTGACTTCAGAATGATCCAGCCCCAGATGATAGTAGAGTGAATCTGGAGAGACCTTGCGAATACAAAGAACTCGGCACTCACAGCTTTCACCTGCCCCAAGGCATCCCCGAGCCACTTCTCTAGAGTGAAGCCTCGCCAGTTAACAGTCCTGTGGTCGTTTTCTATTGTCCTGAGCCTTACAGCCTCAGGAATGCTTTTCTGGACGCGAGGCAGAGGCCTGACCACTAGAAGCTCATGTCGACCTCACTTTGGCTTCATCTCTGGCCCGGACAAGCTTCTTCCTCAGGACTATTTGGTCCCTCTGAGGGGTGTGCTGGCAAATATGTTAGGATGAAAGCCGGTGACATCCATCACTGCAGCTCTGTCTGTCCTATCATTTGCAGGGGCCCCTGTAAGCTGAAGAACATCACACAGCATTCAAGGTCATCATTAGCGTGACCGTGATATTGTTAGACTGTCTGTTACAATCAGTGCTGGGTCAGGGGCGCTGTCCTTACAGTTTCAAGTCAGTGGTCAACATTCCCAGAGCTCCTGGGAAACACTCTAGATTTAGGTTGGGGGTTAGAGTTTTAGTATTCATGCAGGGCCTTGTTTCTGCTGTTGTGCTACTCCTGGCAGCACCTCCCTGCCAGAGCCACTCAGCCTCCGGATGGGACGCAACCGCTGTGTTTCAAGGGTGCCCCTGGCTGGAGACACACAGAGCGTCACGTGCCGAGGAGATGTTCTACATCCTGACTGTTGTCAATTGGAGATTTTCTTCCAGGCAGCAACAAAACAATTGCAATAGCATCAGAAAGGAAAAAGGAAAAAGTCCCCGAGTCCCCTCCTCTAGAAGGAGACCTCCGCAGTCCATGGTGAGAAGCAGGTCTCTGAAGCCTCTGTCTTGAGTCTTGAGTAAATTATTTCCAGTATACCTTATGTGGGACCGTATCGGGATGTAGGGGGCAAAGAACAGTGTGATTAAGCTGAATTATTGCCTACTCGGTGCCCTGGCTAGTTTTAGGGTGGGCAATCCTGTTACAACAGTGATTTTTAAGCATAACAAGCATGGAACATTTCTGTAACTATATCAGGATCTCCAAAGTTTCTGAAGGGTATATTGAAAACAAAAATCTTCATCTCAATTTTTGTTGATTCTCTTGGAAAAATTTTATTTCCTGTTGCATATATTTTATGCCACAAATTAGCCAAGTGTGGCTCGTGCCTCTTTTGTAAGTCAGCTCTCTTTACATGAGAGGGAGGAAAAGCATCTACTTTGAATGCTGGATCTTGGCCAAATATTGGTGCTAAGGAAATGGTCAGTTACATCAAGTTGGTTTCCAGAAAAGCAGAACAAAAGCATGGGCTTATACATGCACAAAAATGTAAAGTTCCATGTCATTTGGTTTTTAATTATTTTACCTTTTTGGTGCCTGTGTATCCACTTTGACATTAATAATACATTTAAATTTAGAATTTAGTGCATAGGCACCAAAACCTCCGTATATACACTTTAAAAAAATCAAGTGGGCTTCAGGGTAAGAGAAGTTTACCTTGGCTCTGACCCAAGCAGACTGAGTTATAGGAAAACCAAGGGTGACTGTTTGGAGGACACAGTCTCCCTGGACGATAAGTCCGGAGGGCTGGTATTGGGGATCTGCTGAGAATTAAGGGTGATGCAGAGGTGACTGCCAGCACATGGTTTTATTAATGTCTCATTATGTCTCTAAGCAGTTCTTGTTATATAGTTGAATAAATTATACTGCCCAAGGTTATTCCTCAGATAACCTGCTGGAAATGGTAACTTTCCTCTTTCATCACATGAATCTAAATGCTAACTAAGTGCTTGTTAGCTTTTCACATTACATCGGAGGGATTCATTAGCTCTTACATCTCTGGATATGTGCTGTAAGAGTCTTTAGATTAAAGATGAATCAAAGTGATTCAGTTCTGTAAGTTCTGAACTAGAGACCAGGGTCTCTCTGGGCACCATCCAAGTGTAAAATGTAGCACAAATTGCCTTTAAAAATTAATAATTCACCAAATCTATGGGCTAAGCTCAGTCTGGCTTGAGAAGATAAGTAAAATAAATATCGTAAAGTCAATTTTTAATAATCAGTGGCATGAAATTTAAGCACAAGAGAAAACATTTAGCAATTAGGCAGGAGCATTCAGTGCATGATTAAATGTGAATAATAATATTTAAAAGCCCCACACCTCACCTGCAAGCAGGAAATATCATTTAAAGTTCTAATCTACTACATAGCACAGCTCATACCATTGCTTTGTTTAATGAGCTCCTGCCTTGTGATTTTTATGTTTGAGCAGTTACTTTTGTAAGTATTTCTACATCGATAGCTGTGTGTAAGGCTGACAAAAAGCACAGATATTTGATGGGGGATTGTCAAACCAGTGCAGTCACTGAAAATAATATAATTAGACCCTTCAGTAGGCTTGTAACCCGTGGTTGGTGTATTTATCTAATTATTGAGACAGTGCATTTACATCTGAGGGGATTTTATTATAAGAGGTTTAAAAAATTTAGAGTTGAGGTTGATTTTCTTTCTCTATTTACCAAATAGAAGGTGGCCTCTGGGCTATGGTTTTTCATGATGAAGAATAAAGCCTTTGATGGATGATGGCAGCTTTTCATCTTCCAGAAAGAGGAATCAAAATAAAAGGCCGAGGAAATGAAATAGTAGGCTGACTGGAAAATGGGGAGGGAGAGAGAGAGAGGGTCTGAAAACATACGCAATGCACTCAGAATGCACTCAGGATAGAGATTCTGGGGAGATAAAGAGAAGGGCAAGATAATATATTTCCAGAAGATCACATCAGTTTACACCTGTCTTGGGCCAGCAACAAACTAGAATAGCAGCTTCAGGAATGTTTCCAAAGGAGTTTGTATTATGCACACACCCTGAGCAAACCCCTGGCACAAAAAGAGACTGACCTTTCCAGGTGAAAATAAGGAGTTCTTGTCAGCTTTGTATTGCTCAGTTCTTTCTCTTAGTTCACTACACCTGTGCAGGGCGCGACCTCCACCTTGTTACTGAAAACTTCTTACCACTAGAGGGAGCGCCAGATCTCCACCCGCCAGCTCTGCTCAAAGCCTTTGGGGATAGAATCGCAGGAGATGCTGGTTTCCAGATGGCACGGCTGGTTAGGGTTTGGAGACATGAACAGGCCTCACCTGAGCCCTTTGTCGGGGCGGTGACATGATGCGGCAGCCCAGAGAGGAGGTGGGAGGGCAGGAGGAGATGAGGTCCTCCCACACCGGGCCGGTAACACTAGTGATGAGGAGGATGCTTCTTGTTAGCACCAGCCTTTCCAGGAGCGAGGACTTTGTCACCCAGGGGCCGTTGCCACATGTGAATGTCCCTTCTAAAACTCAGGTAACCCAACTTGACATGGTAATGAGGCAATGACCTTTTTGAGGTTTTTAGGTCAAGAGGCACTGCTCTCATGTATGGATTAAAGCCATTATCACGAGAGTGAGTGAATTATCTTGGGAGCAGGTTTCAGATAAAAATAATGAATGTGGTGTATTTTTCTCTCCCTGTCTTGTGCATGGTTGGTTGTCTTTCCTTTCTGCTGTTGTTATTATTATTATTATTTTGGTACCGGGGATCAAACTTGGGATCTGTGCTTTCGTGGCAGGCAGCAGAATCACTGAGCTAAATCCCAGGCCCCTGTTATTATTATTATTTTTTGACATGGGGTTTTGCTAAGTAACTAAATTGCCCAATTTGTGATCCTCCTGCCTCAGCCTGCTGGAATGACAGGTGTGTACTGTTGTGCCTGGTTTCCTTCCTGTTTTGCTGTAGCAAGAAACCTCTCACCAGTTGTGCCAGCTCTATCTTAGACTTCCCACCCTTTAGAGCCATGAGCCAAATACAATTCTAGTATTTGTAATTTATCAGTCGGTTGTATTCTACCATAGCAGAAAAATGGACCAAAATTGCTGACCAGTAAACTCTGACAAGTTTTGGTAACAATGATCACAAATCTCTTAGCATTAATCAAAGAACACAGGCTATCTTATTATTCAGACTGCCTGGAATCACTGGGTTTTTGTAAAGCACTCAGATTGTAGTATGAAGGGCATCAGTGTACTTTCTGTGGCCAGACAGCAAACTCTGAATGTAGTTAATGATTCTACCCCCATCTACTTGGCAGGTAAAACCAGTGGAGCTTTCCTCATAATGGCCACTTTTAGCCTCGTAAACATACCATCCACCTTGTGGGATTTCTAGTGATAAATACTATGTTTAAAGAATTTCTTGAGAGCTTCACACAAGCCAGTAAATTAAGCAAAATAAGCATAAGTATAATGGTTAAATTTTAAGAATGTGTTAGAGTGTAAGACACATTGCCATGAATTCCCTCGAAAATACTCTTCCTTTCTTTGAACACACTTAACCCATTTTTCTTACCACTTTCTGAAACTGGTCAGGAAGTCTGCTTTTGTGAGCATCTTTGTGATGAGATAAAA